TAATTCAGGTCTTGTTCAGGTCTTGCTGAGGTTGTGGTATGGTCTTCAGTGTTTTGTCTCCGTCGGGCCTGATCGGCCGTTCATGGTTTGAAGCAGTAGGAAAACCTCAGCCAGGTCAAGGTGGTTTATACCGGCCCAGGTTCTGATTGTGGAAACCACCTGATGCAGACGTGAAGCTTGTAGCTGCATCCTGGCGGGTCAAAGAGTTCTGTTGGAGCTGAGAACATCTTGGTGCTTTATTTTTTACCTTTAGGAGCTGCGGCATCATGACCGCCTCAGGTCGGATCAGATCTGATGATGTGGAACTTTCAGGAACACCTCAGGGTTTCAGTTCAGGAAACCTCTCATTAAACTGTCAGCTGAAGCTTCTCCTGACCTTCGGCTGTTTTTGGAACGCAGTGACCCAACTCACTCAACTCACAGGGTTTGAAACCTGAAGGTTTCTGGAGCTCCTCTGGTTATTTATAGCTCCTGTTGTGATGTGCAGGAGCCGAACGTGTCCCCGCTTGCTGCTGACATTCCTCGGCTTTTTCTGGCCCACCTCCTGTTTTTAATGCAGCCTGAATTATTCCTTAACTGGAAATTCCCTCCGAGTCTCTGGGTCTCCTCTGAAGAAGTAGTTTTATGACTCCATACGACATTCCTGAAACAAACTGCGTGCACGAGAACAGGCCGATGCAGACTTTCACTTACTGGGAATAAATCAGATTTAATTCAATTATCAACTTTAAAATCAAACATTTCAAACCGTTTTTTTTTTCTAGCTAAATATTGTCAAGATGCTGATTCATGGAAGCTAAATCCTTGCTGTTTAATAAATGCAGACAAAATTAAGATGAATTAGTTTTAAACATGACAATAATTTTATTTTTAAACTTTGAATATTCTCCTAAACGACATTAAAATAAAATCAGTTTGGGAAGCAAGATAGCTGCGTTAAAGTGGACCAAACCCAGAACCTGAACAAAAAGACCAAACAGGAGCTAAAACCCCACAAACTAACTCGAGCAGAATCAGACAGAGCTTAAATTATCTTTAAAAGAGAACATTAAAATGAACGAGCATTATTTGACGAATGCATATCTCCCAGTCCCAAATGTTAAAAGTTAAAACTTTTTTAAACAAAGTTTCAACTGAAAGTCAGAACAGAATTATGGCCATTTTTAGTGAAACCTCGTAAATAACGAGTGTCTCTCACGAGATGTGCAAGCTCTCGAAGTATCTCATGTGGAGTTCCCTTAGCTACTACCAGCCCAAATTATAGTTCAACATCTTTAAAACGGGCTGAATTATAGCCGTTTTAACTTTGATGAAAATGCTTAGCTGTGGCAGCCATTTTGAATGTGACAGACTTTATATATTAAAAACTTCTAGATGTACAGGCAGTAGTTACAACCTGAGAGTTTCATTTAAATCCATTCTCAGGTTCATGAGAGACAACACCCGCTTCGAATGTTATCGGCCATTATTAGTTATCATCTCCATATGTAGCGGCCAGACTGCCCCTCCTGTACCTCCTAATGGGTTTAAAGGTACGTTGTTAGCGATAATAGGCTCTGTTTTTACCTTTTGATACCGCGCATAATAGAATCAGAATAAACTTTATTGGCATTGCACCGAGATACAACGCGAATATGTACGTACAGTCGTCCGAAGATGAGCGGAGTGCACGAAGCTGCAGCTATAAATAGTGCGGTCGTCTTATTCTTATTCAGAATAATATTTTGCTTAGATACGAAAAGGAAAGAAAACATGAGGAGAGACTGTATAAAAAAAAAGATCTCTCACACCGTGTCCTAGACGGGGCACAATTTGAGGCATCAAAAAAACCTCCACAGCAAAGCAACATAAACAGATGTTATACATGAACATACAGGTGGTGAAGATGTTGAATTTTTAAGGGAAAGTCGTAGCATAGTCCAGACCCCCCCTCAGCCATTGTCCAGATAAGAGGTGATGTTCATCTTCAGCTCAGTTGAGGTTCTGTCACATGTCCACGGCCTTGGAGAAGGGAGGGGTGAGGAAACAGTCAAGGCATCTTTGTTGTTTTCTGAACATTCCAGGAGGAGTTGAGATAAGTCCGGCGTCAAGGCCACAGTTTGGGTCAGGCAGAACTCGTAATTGTTGTTTCTGCCTTTAAAGTCTCGCTGGTACATATTCTCTGATGGAAACTCCAAAACAGCCAAATTGATTCTTTACGCCAAAAGTCGAGCTCACAGCTTCTCCAAGATTATTCCCACCATTCATGAGTGCTGCCAGGAAGATCACAGTCCTGATCACAGCTGCTCCAGCTCCCTGCTGCAGCTCCACAACTTCAGTCTGAGCACTGTCGAGTTTCGACACATCCACACGAATTTGTAGACAACCAGAATTCACCAACCAAACCGCAAAATAACCAGTTGTCATCATGAATCCAATTTGTTTCTGTCGAGGTAAGAGGGTCCTCCTTACCCTGACTCCTGTCGGGAGAAGTTGATCATTTTTGTTGAGACCAGCTGATCCTTCGAATTAAGAGGTATGCAGAAAAAACAAACAAAAAAAGGGTTTTGAAGGGTTCACAGGACAAAAGAGTGCAGCAGGGAAGGGGGAAGACGAGGAGACACGTCTGGTTCCACCGGAAGACAGACAGAAAATAAATAAATAAATAAATAATAGCTTCACGTGGTTAGGTTTACAGTAAAGTGTCTGGCGGTTAGGTTTAGGGTCTTGGTTAAGTTTAGGCACAAGGGTAAGGGGTTAAGTTTAGGGTTGATCCTCTGGGTCATGTGTAAGCTTACGTTTAGGAAAAGGGTTACATAAGCTGAAAAAAAACAAAGACAATTCCTGGTTTACTCCCATGTGACGCTGCCTATTATCAGCAATAATAACTATAATAACCTACTTTAAACCTACTAGGAGGTAGGTGGGACAGTCTCACCGCTACATATGGGGATGATGACTAATAACGGCCATTTAATGGACTGATAACATCCGAAGCCGCTCGATACAACGGCTTAAACCAATATTCAAACAAGCAAACACACAAACAAAGCCAAAACGTTATCATCAGTGACGGGCGATGATGAAAGAAAACTTTTAATGTGATACTTCTACAAACTTGAGTGAGAAACTCTTCCAGTGTTTCAGTATTATTTGAGTGGAGCAACTTAGTTTCTCACCAAAGCCCGCCCCTTTTGGGGAGCTTGTAAAGCTCCGCCCCTTTTTGGAAGAAAACAGCCCCTCCACTTTTACTGGTGGTGAACAAAACTGAGAAAACAGCGTTAGATCAATTCAGTGTTGCTTTGAAGCTTCATAATGTCTAAATAT